AGCCACTGAGCCACATCTCCAGCCCCATTTTGTATTTTATTTAGAGACAGGGTCTCACTGAGTTGCTTAGCACCTCACCATTGCTGAGGCTGGCATTGAACTCATGATCCTCCTGCCACAGCCTCCTAAGCTGCTGGGATTATAATCTTTTTAAAAAAGATGGAGATGTGGCTCAGTTGTAAAGCACCCTGTGTTCAATCTTAGTACCCCCCACTTTCTCCCGCCAAAAAAAAACAAGAGGATGCAAAAAAGCAATCTTAAGATTTCAAGGAGGGCTGGGAGTGTTAACTCAGTGGTAGAGCACCTGCCTGGCACATGTGGGGCCCTGGTTTTCAGCCAGCACACGCCTATAATCCCAAAGACTTGGGAGGCTAAAGCCGGAGGATCAAAAGTTCAAGGCCAATCTCAGCAACTTAGTAAGACCCTGTCTCAAAGGAAATTTTTTTAAAAAGGGTTGAGGATATAGCTCAAACAGAGCACCCCTGGGTTCAATCCCTAGCACTGAAGGGATAAAAAGAAAAATGATTTTAAGCATCTGTGATGAGGCTGGAGCCCTATACTTGCAGTGCTTTGGGGGAAGAGGGCAGAGCATGACAAATGGCCCTGAAAATAAGCAGAGTAAAGGCCATAGAGAGCAGCAGGGAGCCCAGCCATATTTAGAAAAGACTGATGTTCTCACCCTCCAGCTCCTCCAGCCGCACCTCCCGAAGGCTCTCCTTGCCCAGTGCCCTGGCCACTTCTTCACACTGGCGTCGTCTCAAGGGGTACTCGCTGGAACCCAAGGAATGGCGGACGTTGGAATTAGTGATGAGCACGGCCAGCTTGGGGTCTGACAGTGGCACCAGGCTTGTCTCCAAGGACCTAGTGTGGAGTTGGATTAGGGAAGATGACAAGGCCAAGGATCTGTTTGCCAGGCCAGGCAGTAGGCATGCTCCACCTAGGAACTCCTGATTATGAGGTGGGAGGGTACAAGGGGAGCCCCTGACCTGCAGTCAATGAGCAGCGCGTGGCCCTTCTGCCCCAGCAGTGCGATGAGCTGATCCATGATGCCACAGGGCACCCCTGCAAAGCTGTGCTCGGCCCGCTGACACACCTGGGCCCGGGCAGCTATTGCCCCCGAGTCTGTGGCATAGGGTGAAGTAGGGAAGCCAGGGCCCAGGAGGAACACAAGAAGTGGCCACATGGGAGCAGCAGTAGCTCCAATGACACTCTGTGGAGACTCCCCACTCCCCCTCCCTAAACCACAACATGGGAAGAGTTCTGACCAGAGACTCAGGCAAGGAGGGCTGGGCTGGGGCTAGGGCCTATGTAGTACCTGGGCAGAGTTGCTGGAGGAAGGTGTACGTGGCCACTTCCAAGGATGCGGAGCTGGACAGCCCACCCCCCAGGGGCACTGAGCTGACCACCACTGCACTGAAGCCAGGGATGGGGGAAGCTGCAGTAGAAAGAATGGTGATGTTAAGATGGACTGCTAGAAGGATGGACACAGGAAGAGCATGTGTCCTTATAGGAAGGAAGCCTGGTAGCCACTTTTAGGACATGTCTCTCAATTGTTAGGCCACCAACCTGCTGGTGACAAAGAGCCTACTACCCTCCATCTTCTGGCCATCTGAGGTTACTGGAACAATCTTTCTAGTTATCCTCTTGATTTAGAACTAGCAAATTGGGGTTTGATTCCTGGCTACTCTAATCATGTAAAAGGAAACCCAGGGCAAGTTCTGGAACTTCTTAGGGCATCAGTTTTCTCATTAATACGGTAGGGTATTCCTCCTTGCAAGCTTTCCCCAGTGTATTAGACAGGTTAATGGACTTGTGGCTGTAAGGTGACAATCCTACTGGCAACATAAATTTGACCTACAATCCTAGTGGCAGCATGAATTTGACCCATGCCTGGGCCCCATGCCTGGGCCCCATACCTGGGTAGTGCTGAATCACTCCCTTGACATAATTGGCCCATCGGGGAGTCCCAGGCTCCAGTGACCGGTGGACTGTGGGCAGTGGAAACTGCAGCCGCTGGGGCTCATCAGCATCTTTAGAGGTGGTGAGGAGAGAGACAAGCCCATCTGTTCGGGGGCTGCCTACCAGCAGGGTCACCAGCTCCAATGCCTGAAAGAAGAGATAGGAGCATGTGG